ATACCACAGCTTCTCTAGCCATTCGTTTGTTGATGGGCACTTAGGTTGTTTCCAACTCCTTGCTATTGTGAACAAAGCTGCAATAAACATGGGTGTGCATGACACACTGATTTCTGTACATCATCTCTGGAGACCTGTGCAGCTGTTCTGAGGTGAGGCTTAGGAATTAGTTTTTTTTTAAAAAGCCAAGATAATATGCTGATGCATTTGGTATACAGTTGGGTGATAGTGGTGGGATGGATGAAAAGGGCCTGATAATAATAATAGAACAGTACAATACGTGTTTGGGATACGTTGAAATTCCACAGGCATTATTTTCAGGAACTGTAAGTTCTCAAAGAACTCTCCTGTATGTGCAAGCAGTCCCCAAAGTGTTTTTTAACTAGAGCTCAGGTATGTTTTAAGGCCATGAGTCCAAGGTGATTATAACTGCAACATCAATCGATACAGGAAGAAATGCTGCTGCTCTCCTGTTTACTATGTCTCAGGTATGAGGCGGACATACCACAGCGCACCAGAGACCTGGCATAAATTCTTAGTGAGGTTTACCTAAAGGGAAGCATGAGGCAGAATCATTTCAAGTACTACACAAACACATTGTAGGGCTCCTCTGTCCCACTCTTTTTTTAAAAAAATTAATTTTAATGAAAGTTAATAGAGACTTAGGGTTTCCAGTAATTCATTGTTGCACTTTTGTCCCTGCCGACTCCCTCCCCTCCAATTCACTCTTCTTGAAAAGTAAAAGAAAAATTCTTTCATTGTTATACAATCCCTCCCCCCAAGTCCACTGCACTGTGCAGCCTTCATTCTGGACTCCTGTCATAACAATAATACCTAACCACACATGCCTTTTAAACAGTTATCTCCCTCATCTGTTTCAGAGCAGTATACATAATTTATCCCATCTTTCTCAGTCTTCCCCCAACCCCGATATCAGTCCAGTTTTACAACAGTGGCCTTATGCAATATTTGTCCTTTTGTGACTGAGATACTTCATTCAGCATAATGTCCTCCAAGGCCACCCATTTTGTATAATATTGCATGAGTTTCTTGTTTTTTAATGCAGCATAGTATTCCATTGTGTGAATATACCACAGCTTCTCTATCCATTCATTTGTTGATGGGCACTTGGGTTGTTTCCAGCTGTTTGCTATTGCAAACAAAACCACAATAAACATGAGTGTGTATGTACCTGCTTGGGTGGCAATTCTTCAGGTTTCTTTAGGGTATATTCCCAGTAGTGGAACTGCTGAGTCAAATGGTATTTCTATTTGCCAACTTTTTGAGAAAGCACCATACAGTCTTCCATAGTGGTTGCACCATTTTACACTTCCACCAGCAATGAATAAGAGTTCCAGTCTCTCCAGCATTTGATGTTTGCTTTTTTGTTAAATTTTGCAGTTCTTACTGAGGTGAGATGATACCTCATAGTTGTTTTGATTTGCATCTCTCTTAGAGGTAGGGATTTTGAACACTTCTTCATGTATTTGTTAGCCATCTGAATGTCTTCTTTGGTGAAGTGTCTGTTCATATCCTGTGTCCATTTTTCAATTGAGTTATTTACCTTTATCTTGTGATGCTTGAGTATTTTATAAATTCTAGATATAAGTCCCTTTTCTGACATGTCATTACCAAATATTTTTTTCCCAATCTGTGGCTTCCCTTTTTACCCTGTTGAAGAAGTTTTTGGATGTGCATAGGGATTTGATTCTTAGAAGGTCCAATTCATCTATTTTATCCTCTCCTGGTTTTTCAGGATGCTTAGAAGACTGTTTATGTTGTGGATTAGGACTTTTAGAGTTCTTCAAAGCTTCTCTCTAATGAAGTTTATAGTCCTTGGTTTTAGTCTTAGGTCCATGATCCACTTTCTGTCTCACTTTTGACTTTCTCCTTCCATGTGGACAGGCGTAGCTTACCCTTCAATATGGGAATCACACCAGGCTGGAATCATCCCCGTGGCTGGAATTCAGGTAAAACAGATGTGGTGTTGTTATTAGGGGCCAATGCATTGGACCCTGCTCTTAATGACTCAGCATACAACAGAAGCAGAAGGACACTGTGCTTGATCCTGTATCATTCTCCCAGTTGTTATGTCTGAGCCCACTGCAGCCAGTCTGCCAGTTCTATCAGAGATCCGGGAAGAGAAGAAAATGTTTTCTTTTTTAACATTTTTATTATATTTTACGTTTATATATTTGAATAAAAGTTCTTCTGTTCTTAGAGTCATGGGCATGGATGTTTATCTGGTCCATTAGTACTAAGGACTAATTGTTTCTATATGTCTTTGCTTTTTCAACTCATCTTTGCTCCAGACCAGGACAGACCAATAGTTTACCTCAGATGACCTCTTGCAAACTTTCAAGACCTCAGTTGCTATTCACCAGAGTAGAATGTAGAACACTGCCTTAGTGGGCTGTGTTATATGTATTGAAGACCATCCTGACCAGGATCCTGAGCCCTAGGACCATGTGCTCATTCCTTCAACGTGCTTGACTATGGTTAAGACGTTTAAGTAATTCTGCACCCTGTTGGCTCTACTATTCATAATCATTCTCTTCTCAAGAAACCTTCAAGATCTTGAGATGGAGCCTCACCTTGGATTACCTTGTTAGATAACCTCTGAGCACAGTAAACTAATTATATGTACTTCAACTGGTTTAATGACCCTATGAAATAGAGATTTTAAGAAAAATGTTTTTAACATATGAACAAATAAATACAAGTGAGGAGAAAGTAACTGACTTAACCAAGGTCAAATATCCGGGAAGTGGCAATCTTGGATTTAAATGGAAACCTGCTAGTTCCAAATTTGTTCCCTTGACTATTCCAAGATGCTGAGAAATATCCAGGAAATAGACTGAGGATTGAATTTGATTGACTGGGTTGGAATGATTAGGTAATTAAGAGATTTGGGGCAAAAAGTCAAAGGAGAAAGTATGCCAAAGGAGTTGCTGTTAAGTGCTGTCGAGTACAACTCATAGAGCGACCCTCTGAAAAAAAGATCTGAACCTTGTTCTGTCCTGTACCATCCTCACACTTCCTGACACACAAGAACCCATTGCAGCAGGCACCATGTCAATCCACTTGGTTGAGGGTCTTCCCTTCCTTTTTTGACCCTCCACCCTACCCATCATCATGTTCCTCCCCAGGGAATAGCCCCTCCTAGCAACACGTCCAATGTATGTGAGGTGAAGCCAAAGGAGTAGGGAAGGGTATAAAGGAAGTCAGGTTGGGCTAAGAAGTGAAAGCAAGGTCATTCAGCACTGTGGAGAGGAGTAGGGAAGGGTATAAAGGAGGTCAGGTTGGGCTAAGAAGTGAAAGCAAGGTCATTCAGCACTGTGGAGTTCTGTCTTCTCTTTATCATTTTATCCAGATTTGTTGGGTGTTTCCTCAACTTCCTTCTTCATTTCTGAGTTAATCACCATCCTCCTTTCCAGGAGCCATGCACCAGCCCAAGTTGTGGTGAATCAGCCTGTCCGGGGTGCCAGTAGCAGGACCACCATCACCACCGTCATCCAGACGGGCGGGGACTGGAGCACCGGCCTTTTCAGTGTCTGGAGAAATAAGAGAATTTGTATGTTCCCCTCCCACCCCTCTTCCTTTAAGTTCTTCCTTACTATAGTCCCAAGGACAGAAACAAAGTGGTTTGGGAATAGCTGGACAATCTGATGACTCAAAAATACTCCTCGGTCGGAAAGACTTTTGCTTTTTCAAGGTTGTGGATACTTTTACAGAGGATTCTTTTACAGAGTAAAGGATAGTCAACAAGATGAACTGACACAGTGACTATAACAATGGGCTCAAGCATATAAAAAATTGTGAGGATGGCCCAGGATAGGGATTCAATTTGTTGTTCATGGTGTTGTTATGAGTTGTGGTAGACTCAGTGACACCTGACAATGACAAAAATCACAGATTTCTTAAATTTGGCAAAGATGTAAAAAAAAAAAAATGGGCTCCCTCATCCACTGCTGGTAGGAGTGTAAACTGGTACACACTTTCCAGTGGATGGTTTAGCAATACGTATTAAAAAAAAAAATCTCAAGGGCTATGTAACTTTTGGCCCAATAATTGTTTAGTTAGGAATTTAAGATTTAACAGCACTGTTTGGTTTTGCAGAATTAGCTATTAACACAAAGGCCTGAAATAACCTAAATATTTGTTCAGGGTGGGAAGGAGAATATCCATACAATAAATTATTAGTAATAATTTATTACAATAACTTATTATTAATAATTTAATTAATTATTATGAATAATTAAACATTAAGCAGCAGTATTTAATGAAATTAAAAGACGTTTTTTAGATACACTTTTAAGCTATAGAAACAGATTGTAATTTATGTACATTAGATAAAATTTTTAGGGGAAATATTTAGAAAAATGCCTACAAGTATACAAATAAAAAAGATTACAGCAGATGACATCCCAGATGGCAGATTAATGACAAATTAATATTTTATATTTGCTTATTTTTCCTAATGTTTCTATGAGGAAAAGGCAATACTGTTAGAAAACAGGTACAATCACAATAGCAGTCCCTGTTCCTTGACTAAATATTTTCTCACACTGGTTCATTTATAAAGAGGTGTTTTTGCTGCATGATTCTTTCTTGAGTTTGAACATCAAAGTGTATCAGTTCTATTTTTACCCCAGGACATTGTGACCTATCTCTGGTATCACGTATCTGGATTCCCTTCCAGGATCTGATACTCAGGTCCTAGAAAACAGGGGGGTGAATAGGTTATACAATCTCTTTGATAAGAAGAGTTTCCTTTGATGGATGAGGGTATGTGTCTCAGGTGCAAAATACAACAAACTCTGAGTCTTATAGTTTTGAATAACATGGCCCTCTCCACATGTTCAGCAAGCACTTCAAGTAGTCCTCACTTTCAGCAAACAAGGATGTGTCATCTGCATAATGATGGTTGTTAAAGAGTCTTCCTCAGATCCTGAAGCCATTCTTTTTCATATGTCTTAGACTTTCAAATTATTTGTTCAGCATACAGATTTAATAGGTATGAAGAGACGCTACAACCCTGATGTACACCTTTCTTAATTTTAAACCATGTAATGCTCCTATTCTCTGTTAGTATGATAGCCTCTTGGTCTAGGTATTGATTTGAAGCTCTTGTCAGCAGAAGATCAAAGTCTACAGCCTTTAATATGGATTACATCTCAACAGCAAGTAAACAAATATTCTCACCACTGAGCTGGTAGGCAACATCATGATATTGTTATTGTTGATTGCCTTCGAGTTGAGCACTATTTATAGTGACCCCATGAACAAAACATACTATGACAGGTTTGGAAGCAGGAGTGGCACCCACTTCCTAAATAACATGCCTCTGGAAACAATGAACATCATGATAGATGGAGAGAACACTGAAATTGTCAATAACTTCATTTTATTTGGATCCACAAGTAATACCTTGTTACCAGTAGTCAGGAGATCAGGAGATGTATCATATTGGGAATGTGTTGTTGGGAGCTGGACAATGAACAAGAATGAAAACATAATAATTGATGCCTTTGAGTTATGGTGTTAGAGTACTGAATATCCCCCATGGACTTCCAAAAGAACAAACAGAAATGTCTTGGAGAAAGTACAGCCAGAATGCTCTTTGGAGGCAAAGATATGACAAAGTTTCATCTGACATACTTTGGTAACATGAGTAGGCGATATTCCTTGGAGAGGGATATCATGCTTGGAAGGGTGGAGGGTTAGCAAAAGGAAGACTATCAATGAAATGGATTGACACAATGACTGCAGCAAGTATGTCAGAAATGATGATGATGGCACAGGACAGGACAGGGTTCAGATCTGTTGTTCATAGGGTCACTATGTTGTTGTTTATTGTTATGTGCTACTGAGTCATCTGCAATCCATAATGACCTTACAGTAGCTTTGAACCCTGCCCTGTCCTGAACAAGTCTCACTAATTCTGACACACTAATCCCATTGCCCCAAATCCACCTCATCTGGGGTCTTCCTCTCCTGCGCTGTCCCTCCACCCTTCCAAGAATGAAGTCCTTCCCAAGGTCCCATTTCTCCTGGCTATGTGCCCAAAGAATGTGAGACAAAGCTTCAAAATCCTAGCCTCCAAGAAGAAATTTGGTCTCACCCTCTCCAAGACAGACCTATTTGTTTTCTTGGCAGTCCATGGTATATTCAAGACTCTTCTCCAGCACCACAATTCAAAGGCACTAATTATTCTTCTGTCATCCTTAGTCATTGTCCAGCTCTCTATGCATAGCAAGTAATTGCAAGACCATGGCCTGGATCAGGCAACCCTTACTCTCTAGACTGACATCATTGCTTTTCAGCACTCTGGAGAGGTCCCTGACAGCAGATTTTCCCAGTGCAATTTGTCTTTTGATTTCCTGACTGCTGGTGTTGATTGTGGATCCAAGCAAGCTGTAATTGTTAACAACCTCAATCTCTTCTCCATCTATCACGTTACTGCCAATTGTCCAAGAGGTGGGAATCTTTGTCTTCTTGCTATTGAGCTTTAATCCATATTGAAGACTACAGTCCTTGATCTTCTACAGCAAGTGCTTGAGATTGTCTTCAGTTTCAGCAAGCAAGGTTGTGTCATCTGCATAACATAGTTTTGTTGATGAGTCTTCCTCTAATCCTGGTGCCACATTCCTCCTCATAAAGCCCAGACTCCCAAACGATCTGTTTCACAGAAAGATTGAAAAGATATGGAGACAGGAAGTATTCCTGACACACTCCTTTCTTGATTTTAAATCACGCAGTGTTTCCCTGCTCTGTTCTGATGACTGCTTTCTGGTCCAAGAATAAATTTCACATACAATTGAGTGTTCTGGGATTCCCATTCTCCTCAAGGTTAGCCACAATTTGTTGTAATCCACACAGTCAAATGTCATACTTTACTTGACTCAACTGCAAGTACCACTACCACCACCACCACTACCACCACCACTATCACCACCACCATCACCACCACCACCACCATCACCACCACCACCACCATCACCACCACCACCACATGCTCAAGCCTTCTGGGAAGATCTGGTTTTTGTCTCAAAGCCTCAAAGGATAGATCAGTTAGAAAGCTACATAGGCCAAGTTATTGAGTACAGAAGGCTTGCAGACATAAAACTCTTGACAACAGTTTTCCATGTGTTGATCACCGAGAAGAGACTGCTCAGCATGAGTCCTACAACCACCATGTCCCTTTGTCTGTGTGACCTAGAGCATAGCTGACCTCACCCCGCCACTTGCCATGTAGACTTTTAATAGACAATTATGGCAGCTTTCTGCAGGACCTTTTAAGATCATTCCTACTTCTACAAAGAGTGTATCAATAGTTGAGTGGAAAACCAAGTTGCTTTATAAACTCTCACTCAAATCACAATTTAACCAAAGAAAACACCCCAAAACAACTGAGAGGGAATAAAAAAAATCATTGAAAGAAAAATAAATACTATCTTTGGCTTTGTATGATTTTCAAGATGTTGGTTGTATAGATTCTTAGACTTAAACTGAAAACTGATATGTTTGGGAGAAAAATATCAATGCACTTCAACCTGGACAAAACCTATTGTAGTGGTTCACAGTATCAAATATAAACTTGGCTTTGAACCTTGACTTTATCTCTTACAGGCCACTTCACCACTGGATTTTTATTTTTCCATCTCTAAAATGAGGATCAAGATAATGAAAGTGTCTGCCTCAGATATTATTATCATGATTATACAGATAAGCCATACAACCCATTCAAAACAATGGTTCGGAATATACTGTATTTTTTAAGAAAATGACACACATCTTCTACATTTGTTTACCCACTAAATATCCCTTCTGTGAGGTATTTTCATAAGCACCACTATGTCAATTTATTTTTACATGTTATTTTAAAACAGTTAACATAATGCACTTATGAAAATACTGCTTGGGCAGGAGTGGCTGGCAAACAAACAGAAGGCATGCATTATTTATGTAAAAATACAGTAACTGAATATGTTAGCAATTTTTGGTTACAAACAAGCATTGGATTTTATTAGACCATGGTGAGTAGCTAAAAAACCCCTAAAATATCAACTGGAAAAGCAAACTCAAAGGTTAAGATGTATTATCAGAAGCTAGCTGATGATCTGTTCAACTCTAAATGTCTTTATCCTTGTGCTATGCTATCTCAGAATCAATGTTTTGGCAAAGAAGCCTGATTTGCCTAGTTAGGTTACTTACTTGCCTACTACTTGGCCAGATCAGGGAGCTCTTAATGGCAGCTCCACCAATATTTACCAAAATGGTAAAGGGATAATTTCCTAAGAGTAAATTGGACACTGCCATGGATTGAATTGTGTCCTTCAAAAGACATAATGTGGTAACTAGGTAATGAACCTGCCCCCACCATGAACTGATAGTTCACATAGTTGTAAAAATATTAAGGATGGAATGCAACATCCCTTTATTTCATCACTGTACTGAGCGAAGTAGGGGAGGTTTCTAGAAGCTGTGGCCTATAATATATTCTATCTTTCTGGAGAAAAAGGAGAGGAAGGCAGCCGAGACAAAGATTTTAACTACCTCAAAGAAGAAATT